CAAACCCTATCCCCCACCCACTCTCTCCCAGGCTGTGAAAGAAACAGTAAACTGCAGATTTTATTGTAAAAGTAAATTGAAAAGTAATAGTAAGTGTTTGCATAAGAAAAGTCCCATGGAGAATGTGTGACAGAATTTATGGAAAATGCATGTGAAGGAGAAAAAACTATTTTTTAGTGGTGAGAAGTTTGTAACAAATTTTTTTCCCTGTCTCTTTTGTTTTTCAATTGGCTGTGTTGCTTTAAGAGCAAGAGAGACAGAAAGAAGGGGGGGGGGACTGTTTGTTTTAAACTTTTTTTCCTCCCTGCTTAGAATTCTGATTTGCAAATGGAGATGAAAATTAATGCCCACTCTTGCAGTTTCAAATTACAAAAGTTTTACTCAAAGAGGAGACAGTAATTGTTGGACAATTTTTTGGGGGAAAAATTGTTGAGTTTAAATTGTTTAGTTAGACCTATATATCCATCAGCCAATAGAAATGACTCTGAATTGTTTTGCTTAAGATTGGTAAATGTTTAACCTACTTAATGGAAATTTGTTTCCATCTGAATGGTATTTGATTAACTTGGAATTTATTGACCAAAGGAAAACAACCTGGAAGATCTCATTATAGTTCCAGTTGAAGCATTTACTACAGTTGAGCAAATTAAGTACTTGAATACTCAATTTGTGGACAGAATTCCATATAAAAATGGTCACTTAACACTTTTCATATTTCTTTTTAAAAAATTTTTTTTTATTATTTTTAACCAACAAGACAAAACAGAACAAAGCAAAACATAACACACATACACACAATATATATACTCCTCCTTTTTTTTACAGCAATTACGTAACGGTAATCTAATATTATCGTTACCAACGGTAACGTTACCAACATTACCAACAAAAGCGCGTATAGTCCAGGCCATGGTTTTCCCAGTTGCAATGTATGGCTGTGAAAGTTGGACCATAAGAAAGGCTGAATGTCAAAGAATTGAGGCCTTTGAACTATGGTGCTGGAGAAGACTCCTGCGAGTCCCTTGGACTGCAAGGCGTTCAAACCGGTCAGTCCTAGAAGAGATCAACCCCAACTGCTCTTTAGAAGGCCAGATCCTGAAGTTGAAATTCAAATACTTTGGCCACCTAATGAGAAGGAAGGACTCACTGGAGAAGGGCCTAATGCTGGGAAAGATTGAGGGCAATAGAAGAAGGGGACGACAGAGAATGAGATGGCTGGATGGAGTCACTGAAGCAGTAGGTGTGAACTTAAATGGACTCCAGACGATGGTAGAGGACAGGAAGACCTGGAGGAACATTGTCCATGGGGTCGCGATGGGTCGGACACGACTTCGCAATTAACAACAACAAATCTAATATTTACATTTCCCCCTTATTCTTCTTTAAATATTTGTCCTTATAGCCCCATTATTTCTTATTTACATTTTTCTTCCTTCATGTTCTACTTCTTACTAAGAATAATTCATATTATTATTATTATACATTATTGTACACATATTTTCATTTTTGACCTTTCCATATTTATTCTCCTCTATTATTTCTAGTCTCCAACCAGACATACACCTTGTTCCATACTATATAATACTCTGTGTCTTCCTTTTCTTTTATCTCTTTTGTTAATTTCTCCATCTCAGCACAGTCCAGGATTTTTCTTATTACTTCTTCCTCTGATGGTATATTCTCATTTTTCCAGCGCTGTGCATATGCTATTCTTGTTGCCGTTATTATATGTAAAATTAAGTACCATATTTCTTTACTATATTTTCTATTTAAAATACCCAACAAAAAGTTCTCTGGTTTCCAGTCTACAGGTTGGTCTATTATTTCTTGGATCCATTTTCTTATTGTAGACCAATATTTTTTTGCAACTGGGCATGTCCACCATAGATGATAATATGTTCCATGTACTTTTTTACATTTCCAACATGTTGGCGACTTATTCTGGAACATCTTGGCAAGCTTTGCAGGTGGAAGATGCCATCTGTAAAACATTTTCAACTGGTTTTCCTTGAATGCCGCCGACATAGTCAATTTTATATTTATTTCCCATATTTTTTCCCATTTCTATATTATATCTGAGATTTTTTGCCCATCTAATCATTGTGTCTTTGACAACCTCGTCTTCCATTTTATATCTCAATAGGTATTTATATAAATTGCTAATTAATTTTATTTCTGTTCCATGTATAATTTTATCCAATTCTTGCGGCTCTTTTTAGATTTCATATAATTTTTTGTCCTCTGTATATTTAGATTGAATTTGTGTAAATGTCCACCAATCAATCTCTCTGCCAATGTCTTGTTCCAATGCTTGTTTTGTTTTCAAATTTCCCTGTTCATTTACTAATTCCTTGTATCTAATTATCTTATTTATATCCAATAGGTTTGGGTATTTCAGAGCTTCTGTTGGGGATAACCACATTGGAATTCTTGTATAATGTTTTTGTTTTATTTTTTCCCAGTGACTACTTTAAAGCCCTGATGATTTTGGGTGATCCCAATGAAAGCTCGGCTCATTAAAATTTTTTACTACCTTCCTCTTGGTGATCAGTATTTATTGGTTTTATTATGGATTTACCCAAGAGTCGAACTCTGATGATGCTGGCAGTTTTTTGGCGCCAGCTGAGCGCGCATGCGCATGGCACGAAAAGTGCTTACAGATGTTGCCATTTTGTCCGGGGAATTGGGACGTATAAAAGGAGGCCTTCTGGACTTGATCCAAGAACACAAAGGGCAAACAAAAGGCAGGAGCAGAGAAGGTCAGCCAGATTACTTGTGAGGAGAAAGCCTCACCTTTCTTGATGGTTTGCACCAGAAGCTGGCTATTTAGCACAGCAGATGGGTAGAGGTGATGCTGGGAACAATGTGTTCCCAACCTGTCTGTTTCCTGGTCATTGTGATACCTGTCTTGCTTTGGATTGACACCATGCCTTGACTTTGGATCGTGCCTTGTGAACTCTGGACTTTTTTTACCTAATGAATTCTCTTGTGTTGTGAATTTATCTTGTCTGGAAAACTTTCAAGTGCCTTGTGGACATATCCTTCCCCCTCTGTTGAGAGACGGCTGTTCAGTTTTGACATAGATGCCTCTTTGACCCCCCCCTTTCAAACCAGTGGTGTTCTGTCCAAAATGTGTCTTTATCTTCAGTCTACAACACAGTCCTTTCAACAGTTCCAAGAAAGCTCCACACTCATTTGCATTACTCAGGTGACCCTGATGACACAGATAAACCTCCAGGTGGCCTCAATGACACTCAAAAAGAATGCAAATGACCAGCTGTCTGCCAGGAGCATAAATCCTTCCATTCCCCTCCATCCACTCAGAGCTGGAAAAGCTTCTTGGATGAGAAATAAAACATCTTCAAAGGAAAAACAAGAAGGTCCAGTTGCCTCGTGAAGAAGCATCTTTGGGACAACTATGACTTGGATGACTAAGAATCTCCATAGACACTTAAAGACAAGAAGTGGCCAAATCAGGAGACCAGAGAATAACCTCCCTTACACCCCCATTTCCTGAGGGCTCCTCAAATCAAGGGTGCCTGCCTGCAGAGAACACTTTCCCCCCAGAGAGAAGCCAAGACAAAATAAGAGGGAAAGTACCAGAAAAGGCCTTGAACCTCAGAGTTAGCTTTGAGGGCCCCCCACTCCAGGTGGAGGCCCTACCCAGCCTCTTCTGGAAACTTGCAGATTGGCACCCAGGGAGCTTCTGAAAGACCAGGGAGGCCGATGCTGCTCATGCAAACATTTTATTGGAGAAGAGGGTCTGATGGGTGAAGTAGGTAGGGTCACCCCCCCCCATTTGCCCCCAAACGCAGAAACCATGGAAGGCTGGCTCTTCACCCTCTCATTTGACGCGCTTGAAGGTGTCCGTGCCAACACTACAATGAAACAGGAAGGACAGACTTGTCAAAATTCACAGTGGCATGATTGGTGTCCCTTCCCCAAGCTGAGCATCCAATTCCCTCCTCCCACCCACTCACGTGAGAAAGGAAACGGGGGCAAAGGAAATGGACGTTGCTGGTTCTCAGGGGCGGACAGGGCCGGCTAGGTCCCCAACCATGCATTGCAGGCCACGTCTGATGAGGGGAAGGACACTGGGCGAATTCTCCTTGGTCTTTGGGGGCCTCCCTTGAAGCAGCTCCATCCAGGTGACCAAGAAGATGGCCACTTTGATGGGGACCAGAAGAGCTGCAGGCCTTGCGCTCAGGGACCGCACCCAGGTGGCTTCTTTGCCCCATACAAATATGGGGCTGTGCTGGCTACTGCTTTCCAATTTGAGTAGAGCAATTCATGACAAATCTGAGTGTTGCCAGCTGTGGGCAACCCACTGTGTTGCCACGCAAACCACACTTGTCAGTGAGAACAATCTGGGGAACCTCCTCAAAAGCTTTGCTGTGTTTCTTTTTTGGGGAAGTGGCAGAAACAGAGTATCCAGCCTCTCCCGCAGGAGCTGCTCAGCCCTGAGTGCGAAAACATCCCGAGAGAGGCAACCATAGGGGCGCCTTTTCAAGAGCCACTTTGGGAGGGGGGAGGGGAGAGAGAGAAAAAGAGGTGTGCAGGGCCCTTCCAGTTGGGGGGCACAGCAGTTCAGCCCCTGCGTTTCCTTACCTGGTTGCACCCCAATTTGCTGCCACGGATGCCAACTTTCTACGCAGCAGCGCGGCTGTCTTCAGCTGCTCCTTTCCTTTGTCATCTAGGAAACACTGGCCCACAAAGACAGCGGTGGAGGCTGAGGGAGGAATCAGCCAGAGACTCACTGGCAGGTAATGGTGTTTTAGCACTTGGGAGGGGGGACTATGTTCCATAGATCAAACTCCCAATGGTTTATTCCAGGCCATTGGTGCCTGGAGGCTCAAGGAATCTTATGGACTCCAATGTTTTTGGGCAGCTCTAGCTAAGGGTGGGGGAGGGGAACATTCAGTGATCTAAGGAAGGGGAGATCCACTAGATTCCCTCCTCCTGTTCTATTTGCTTCCACCCCAAATAGTGAGTGGCTCTACCAGAGGTGTTCCACATCAGAATGAAGCCAAAGGTGGGTTGAGGCTCCAGGTGCTGGATGCCCTGCAGCATGAGTGGCAGGATGGTCTTGTTGGTGGCACCCTCGGCCGTCAGGTAGAAGCCGTTGAACATCCCATTAATGTTGTGGTTGATGACTATCTTGTCGCCTCTGTCATTCTCCCATCTGCCAGTCAGGGAGCACTAACGGAGAGCGGGAGAGGGGAGGAAAGCAAGTGAGGGCGCTAGCCAAGCCCAGCTGTCCAACAGGTAGAGACCCTGGCTCCATTTTCTCCGGGGATTTGAAAACACCCGTTGCTCCCACGTGCCCGACCCCCAAGGCTGCCCACGCCGGGTGGGGCTGGCAAAGGGGGCGCATCCCAAAGTCCGTCGGTGGAGGCGCCTGCCAGACCGCGGTCCGGGACGACACCCGCCTGCAGATCGCTCTGCCATCTGCGCAGCGAGCGAGAGCACCAGCCCCGGCGGCAAGCTGCCGAAATCGCGGCCGAGCACGGAGGAGGAAACGCTGGGCCGTCCGTCCGTCGGGGACCCAGGGCCTCTGGCGCTCAGCGCGACGGCATCGGGTGCGATCAACCCCGAGGAAGCGGCAGCCTCTGTGCAGCCCGCCGGCTCCCACCAGCTGTTCCTGCCGCCCACCCGAGCAGAGGCTGGTGGCGGGGGGTTTCCCGGGGGAGGCTGGGACCCTCTGCCCACCACCCCGCATCTGACCTTGGCGTCTCGCTTGGAGTTTTGGGGTTCGATAATATTTCCAGAGCAGCCGAGCAGGAAAGCGAGGAGCCCCAGAGCTGCCAGGCCAATCGCCATGGTGGTGTCCAGAAGTCTAGACGTGCCACCTCCAGGCCGGACGCTCCTTATAAAGTTCCGCTGGCACCGGCTCCCCCCACCCCGAGTTGCCGCCTCCTCCGACCCCCATCCCCACCCCCACCCCGCGGTTGGGAGGGGCAGGATCCCCGCCCGAGGGGTAGGACGCTTCTGCGAAATCGCTGAGCAGCACTTCGCTCCACGTTCAGCCACCCCCCCCCACCCTTCCTCCAAAAAGGTCCTAAGAAGGGGGGGGGGTTGCCTCGGCCGTTTCCTGGAGCTCCCCCTGAAGTTTCGCTCGCTCCGCCCGCCTCCCAGCCTCCGAAGGCAGAGAGGAGCGGCGGGACCCCCCATCCCACCCCTCGCTTGCTAGTTTTCTCGCTCGCTCTGCGGGAACGACGGCGCCCAGATGAGGAGATGAGCACCATTCAGAGATGGGGACGGATCCCGAACAGCGATTGATCTCCGGGAGAAGCTGATCCGCGGAACCGGCCACCGCGGGGACCCTCTGGGCGCAAGGGCCACGCAGCCTCAGGAGGACCCTACCGTGACCGTCGTGGCCCAACCCTGGCTCTCCTGAAGCCACCGACCCGCACGGGGGGGGGGAGGGGACGCGGCAGAAGTTACTTTACACGCAGGAAAGCAACAAGGCAGCGCTTGATGTGAACCCCCCAGGGGGCCTCGGAGGCTTTGCTGAGCAGCCATTTGGAAGGCTCGGACACCCTTGGCCCGGTTTTCCCCTTCCAGGCGTTGGTTTCATTTTCACCCAAGGCGGGAGCCAAAGGCGGATTGCAATGTTTTAAATAAGCCTATCTGTTTGACCTTCATCATCATCATCATCATCATCATCATCATCATCATCATCATCATCATCATCATCATCCTCATCCCTTCCTACTAGGTCAGCATGAAGACAAACCATCCTTGAGATGTTCGGGTTAGCGAAGAAAAATATTTTGGCTTTTTGGGCCACGAGATCCAAGCTGAGATGCCCCCCTGTCCCCACTGGGGGGGGGGGAGCGCTTTGGCTCGCAGTGAAGGTTGTATTGTACAAGGGCATTTTAAGCAGCTCATATGTTTTTTGGCAGGTAGGTGTGTGTGTGTGTGTGTGTGTGTGTTCGTTCATGACCCAACTTGGTAATTTCATCAGTGCCAGTAAGGAGTGGGGTTTCCTCTCACTTTAATATTGTTGTAGAGGGGTCCTCAAACCTGGCAACTTTAAGACTTGTGGACTTTAATCTTTGATGGTGAGGAATTCTGGGAGTTGGAGTCCATGAGTCATAAAAGGGCCAAGTTTTTTTTTAATAATATTCAATTCCTAATCCTTCATTCTTTCCTCTAACCAACAAGAAAATAAGTCCCAAATTTGATAGTAGTCTGTGTCTCCTTTATCTTTCAGTCTCATAGTTAATCTGTCCATCTCTGCACATTCCAGTATTTTCCTGATTATTTCTTCTTCTCATGGCAATCCTTCATTCTTCCAGTATTGTGCAAAAATTATTCTCGCCGCTGTGGTGATGTGTAAGATTAAATAAAGACTCTGCTTAGTGATCTTTTCAGACATTATACCTAGTAAAAAAAGTTCAGGTTTAAAATCAACTTGTTCACCCAATATTTTTTCTAACCACATATGTATCTTTCTCCAATAAGCCTTAGCCTTGCCACATGTCCACCAAATGTGGTAATACATGCCTATATTATGTTTACATTTCCAACATCTATCTGACATGTTTTTAAACATCTTTGCTAATCTTGCTGGTGGCAGGTGCCATCTATAAAACATTTTATACAAGTTTTCTTTATATGAAGTTGACATTGTTAGTTTATAGTGTCTCTCCCATAACATTTGCCATTTTTCTAGTTCTATATTATAGACAAAAAAATTGCCCATCTTATCCCTGATTTTCCAGTTCTTGTTTAGATTTTAAATTCCCATCAGTATTTAGAATATCTCTATATGCCCCTATTTTTTCAAAATCTACCAAGTTCGGATGTATAAATGCTTCCATCGTTGATAATCACCCTGGAATTCTTAAAGTGATTTGAAAATACTTATGGACTCTGTTTTTCCCATACCATAAGAAAGCATGCCACCCCAGTTGTAAATCATGTCCCTCTAAATACAACAACCTTTTATTTCTAAGCATTATCCATTCTTTCACCCATGTTAAAACAGATGCTTGATAGTATAATATCCATTCCGGCAGCCCAAATCCTCCATTTTCCTTAGCATCTTGTAATGTTTTCATCTTAATTCTAGCTTTCTTCCCCTGCCAAATGAAGTTCAAAATTAATGAATTTAAGTCTTGGAAAAAAAAATTTCTCAAGTTTTATCGGAATTGTTTGAAATAGAAATAAAACCTCCGGCAATACGTTCATTTTTACTGTAGCAATTCTTCCTAATATTGACTACAGATTTTTCCACCTTTCCAAGTCTACTTTTATTTGCTTCAATAATTTTGTATAGTTGTCTTCTTTTATTGACGAACATTTAGCCGAAAGATGAATACCTAGGTACTTAACTTTTTTCACTATCTGTACCTCTGTTTTCTCTAGCATTTGCCTTTTCTGTTTATCTGTAAGGTTCTTAACTATTACTTTAGTTTTTTCTTTATTTATTTTTAATCCCGCCATTTCTCCATACTCTTCTATCTTTCCCCATAGTTTAAGAATCGTCTCTAAAGGTTCTTCTGAGATAAATACTAGATCATCGGCAATTGCTTGTAACTTATATGTTTCATCTTTTATTTTCAATCCTTTAATTTCTATGTCCTGTCTAATCCTTCTATTTAACACTTTCAAAGTAAAGATAAATAATAATGGAGATAGTGGACTTGCCTCGTATCTTTTCTTATCTCAAAACTCTCAGTGTAATCTCCATTCACTATCACTTTTGCTGTCTGGTTGCTATATATTGTTTTTATCATATTTGTAAAGTTCTTTCCAAAATCCATTGTTTGCAGTTCCTGAATCATGAATTGCCAAGAAACATTATCAAATGCCTTTTGAGCGTCTAAAAATACTAACGCTAATTGTTTCCCTGGATGTAATTCATAGTATTCTAATACGTCCATTATCACCCTTAAATTGTTTTTGATTTTATCTTGTTTTGATCTGGATGTATGAATTCAACTAAGTATTTTTTCAATCACTCTGCCATTATTGAAGTAAAAAATTTATAATCCACATTAAGTAATGAAATCGGTCTGTAGTTCTTAATATACGTCAGGTCTGAATCTTCTTTTGGTATCAAAGTAATATTTGCTTCTATCAGTGTTTGGAAGTTTAGCCTCTAACAATAGTCCATTACAAACATCTTTCAGTATTTCGCTTAATATATTGTGGGGAAAAATGCACGCGCAGCAAACTGCCATGCTTTCCCCCCTACACATGTCATCACCTTTTGATACCGTAATGAAGCAGACAGAAGGTCATCCACTTTTGACTTAGCGCCTCACCTACCTAAATATGATTAAGTTACTTCATATCTCTTCCTGTAAATAATATGCTTAAGTTCCTTCCTATCTCTTCCTGCCTTTGATTAGTTCTGTCAATGATCCTTACCGGAACTGTGAGTTACAAAAAACATGACAACAATCTTCACTCAGGTAGCAACGGTTTAATCAGGATCAATTTAGATGTTAGCAGAGACCTGCAGCAATGAGGCTCTTTGCCAAATTAAAGTTTGCGCTGGGAGCTATTGCCTCCCAGCACTGCCTAAATACATTTCTAAAGCCACCCCACCCTTCACCCAATTACCTCCCAATCACATCCACTCCCAACAAATTACAACCCCACCCATATCACCTTCCTACACCTCACCCTACTATCACCCAACCAGCACCCTCCAGCAATTAGTAATTACAGTTCCCTCGTCTGGATCCTTCTCTGCGACACTCTGGAATCTTCGAACTCCTCTCGTCAGCTGGCTATTGGCTAGCTGACAAACAGCTGATCATCGGCTCATTGTCTTTCTGCACATGTGCAGCCTTCCTTCCGCGCAGGTGTGAGGTCCTAGGTCTCATGCAAGTGCCCATCACTCGGTTTAGAAGAGGAATGGTTGCTGGAGGATCTCTGGTTTTTTTCTTCCGAATGGTATGGTTCTAGTCCTGTGCTGGTTCCCCCTGTATGTGTGTTGAGCCCGGGAGGGTTTGACAAGTTCCTTCTCCTGTTTGCTCTTTACATACATACATGCGCATGGCGTGAAAAGTGCTTAGAGATGTTGCCATTTTGTCCGGGGAATTGGGACTTATAAAAGGAGGCCTGCGTGCCTTTGCCCGTTGTTGGAGTTTTGACTAAAGCACAATAAAAAGCACATGTGTCTTCTTCATTCGCCATCGCTCCCAGGACTTAACACCCACTCTTGCAGTTTCAGATTACAAAAGTTTTACTTAAAGAGGAGACAGTAATTGTTGGACAATTTTTTGGGGGGAAAATTGTTGAGTTTAAATTGTTTAGTTAGACCTATATATCCATCAGCCAAAAAAAAAATAACTCTAAATTGTTTTGCTTAAGATTTGTAAATGTTTAATCTACTTAATGGAAATTTGTTTCCATCTGAATGGTATTTGATTAACTTGGAATTTATTTATTTTATTTTTTATTGAAAATTTTTAAATTTTACAAAACAATTCCCTTCCCCAACCCCCCCAACCCTCCCATACCCTCCCCCACCTCCCCAAATCTCCCATACCCTCCCCCAACCTTCCCAGAGCTGAGTACAGGCTTAATTAAAATTTTTCAAAAAAACTTAAAACACATATAAATCCTAAGCAAATCTAAATACATTAAATTAAACAAGTTATCTTCTTTTAAAAATAATAATTACAATCATTAAACACGTTATAATATATTCTAAACATTTTCTAATATCATACTTATATTATTATCCATCATTCTTTATAAACTCCCTCCAAAAGACAAATTTAAACATTACTTAAAACATTAAAATTCCCTTATACATATTTAAAGCAAAATGTTCCTTTAAATACTCCTTAGATATGTATACATACAATATAAAATCTAATCTCTCCCTCTTTCTTTATCCTAAGA